CACTGTCTTGGTTTTCCCCTGAGGGCAGCTCTTTGGGAGGATGCATTGTGCAGTGCAGCAGGGGAGTCTGCTGTCAGAAAAAAACAGTAGGGTGGGGGTGACGCCCTTGTGAGGCTGCAGTTTTTCCCTCTCTCCTTTGTAAGAAATAATGAAGGCCTCAGAAGCATTGCCACAGCTGTTTCAGTTGCCTGGAGACACTGATCTTAGTCCTCATCTTCCCCAAATGACTCCCCCACTCACTGTAGGGGTGACTCCCACTGCTGGGCACAGAATAAAACCACCCAGCGATTGCTGAGGCCACTTGTCTCTTCATGACCATTGTTGGAGCTGCTGTGTTTCGCTCTTCCCTCCTGTGGCCCCTTTGCCATTACCATTTGTCAGTGATTACGCTTTCCTTAAGGGGTGTGTGTTTGTTTTGTTTGTGCTCTACTCACTTCAGAAATCAGATCATAATACAGGGAAGTAATTGGACAAGTTAAAGTTCACCCTGCCTCCAGGAAGTCCGGTGCTGCATAGCCACGAGATGACCTGAGGAGCGTTAGAAGCCGTAAGCAACTTGTAGCAAATGAAAATACGAAACTAATATGATAAAACTACATGATGCTGAAGGAGGTGAAGCCTTTGCTGCCCAGATCCTGGTGTGGCCGAATTGCTCAAATGATGTCCCGAGCACAAACAAGCACACTTTAATTATTACTGAATCATTGCCCGTGTATTTGATTTGATATTGCAACATGTTTGCTTTCTCATGCGTTACCATGCTTGTTGTTTTTTAATTTTGAGGAAAGTAGACTGCTATTACCTAAATATGTGACCCAGTGTAATGTTGTGTTTCATGATTAAATTTAATTGCAACTTTTATGTAAGGCATTTTGGAACACCAGGAAGCAATGCAAATGTCTCTGTGTAAGCACTAGGGTTTTAATAAGAATGGATCTTAGGATAGAAAAATAATTTGTAATTGTATCTGTTTGAACTGTGTTTTTAAAAGTGGTATAAGCAGAAAAATAAAGACTTTGTAATTAAAAATTACTGAATTGGCACAAATCGTAGCTGTTTTAAGGAAACTGGCAGCAATCCAGATTTTGAAATGTGGTAAGAGATGATTTCTTTTCATCTCAGAATTGCAGAAAAAAAACCAACACTGAAAGTTACATGAAACTAAATCATTGAGCGTGGCTATCAGCACACTTCAGAAAAAAAATCAAAGCAGCTGAAATGTGTATTCAGGATGAGATTGAGTGAAGTCTGTCACACAGACAGAGTGCATAGCAGCAGCAGAATAAAACCTGGCTTGGAGAGGGGCCAGGAGAGAGCTTGCTGCTTGAATTGCTTTGCAGTTTTACCAAGTGTTTTTTTTTGTCCCTACAGCAGCAAAACTGTGACAGGATCGAAAGCCGTCCTGTGTCGGGTGGGCTGCAGCAAGGTGACTGCAGGGGGCCCCTCCAGTGCGCAGGTACATGACAGATGGGTCACAGTGCCATGGTGCAGTCTTGACCCGTGGATTAAGAATTGGGGTGTATTTATAGACACACACGCACTAAAGTGAAAATGGAATTGCACAAACTTAGTATAAAACTGTTTTGAAACATTCACCGTGGCGTCAACAGCGCCAGGTTTTCGGTTTGATGCAGGTGCCCCTCCTTCCCCTGGAGCCACTATACTCACTGCAGCATCTAAAAGCCATCAATAAAAACCCCAAATTTCCTTAGATGTTTTAGTTTCAACAGGACAGGAGAGCTCAGAAGGGAAGCAGCTGGTCCTGGACAGTAAGGTTGGTATTTATCACCTTTAAGTGTTTTTATCTCTAAAATATGACAGTAAATCAAGGTATGGCTAAGATCCAACAAGCACGACTTCTTCTAACTGAGATGGTACGTGCTCTGTCTTTGCTGTCTGTCCTTTCTTTGTCCCATTTTCTGCTACTTCTCAAGCGCCAGACAAACGTGGAGACGTGGCCCAGGTGGATTTGGCTGTCCCGCAGGTAGCGGCTCTCTGGTTGGTTGGTTTTATGCATCACCTTGGCTGTGGCCTGGTCTGGTTTATGTGATACACCCTTCAGATCAAGAAGGTACATGTACCGAGTCTAAGTCATCTCTGCATCTGATTTTCATCTTTGAGAAGTATTCTAAATAGGAGCTGAAAAAACCACTTGTCGGGTAGGTTGTGCTGGCTCTGGGAAAGGTTTTGTTTTGGAAAAAGCAGCCTGGTGCAGAGAGGGCAGCCAGAAACAATGTTTTTTACAGGAGGATGTAATTCTGCATTGAGGAGAGGAGTGTACAGTCCCCTGGGTTGGTTCACGTTTAACGACATTCCAATACAAACAGCAGGACTTAGCCACTGAACGGGAATGCGCAAGGAAATGCAGACGACTGCTTGGCGAGGGCAGGGATGAAATCCCAGGGTGAGCTTAACACAGGCATTTAACCACAGTGCTGACCTGGGTGCCAGGCAGTAAGGGACAAGATGTAGAAAAATTTGTACTGACTGTTTTGGCTTCCAGTCTTCCTCTTTCTAAACTGTTCAAAATCTGCCTTTGTTGAAAATCTAAACAAACATTCCTGTGCGATCATGCAGCAAAGGGGCCTGCTGGGGCGGGCTCGGGGGAGCCTGGTGACTTACTCTGCTGGGGACTGCTTTTCCATTCAGGCCCTACTTATTTTTGCTGTCGTGGGGTTCAGGGGATTTTTCCAGTGCTGACCTTGGCAGGGCAGAGTTCCAGACACCACGGAAGGCAGCGGAGCCAGGGGGCTGTGGGCTGCCTGGAGAGGGAAACCCTGGAGCAGCTGCAGCCTGGCTGCAACCTCTGCCCTTCCCTCTACCCATAGGGAGCACTTTGCATGACAAAGCATTGCAGAAAACTGATCTTCCTCGTATGCCTGCTCTGGTCAGCAACAGCCTCTTGCTCAGAGAATCACCGCTTAGGAGGTCGCACAACCACGGACAAACGTGTTCATTGTTGCCGTCCTCCTCCATGTGGATGAGCTGCAGCTGGCCCCCTCGGAGACACTTGTTTTTAAACTGGGAGGACGCTCTATGGGGGCTGTGTTTACCCGAGAGCTCAAACCGCGGGTACATCTGGCAGCACTCGCCTCTGTGCCATCCCAGAGTTCGCAGGGGTGGGGGGTGCTTGAAGCCCTCGACCCGGTTGGGTGATACTGGTGGATGCAACAGACTGAACACCCCGTGGCTGTCTTCTGCTTCAGATGCAGCTGCGTGTTGTGATGGACACGGTTGTGACAACGTGAGTGATTTCTGCAAATTGCTGTGGCTGAAAGACTGGCATAGCAAATGCAGCAGCTCGGCAGTACTGGGCTGGGGGAAGCTCCACGTGTGGGGCTGTGGGTCCTTGGGTTCACAGAGGAGGTTTCGGCAGCAAGGTGGATGCTGTTCCTGGGGTTGGTACATGTTGGTCCTACAAAGAGACAATTTTGCAGCTTTTCCCGCTGGCAGAAGGGTGAGGCGCAGGAGGGAGATGTTTTGCTGTGCTGGACCATGCCCTTGTGGAAGCTGGAAGAGATGTCAGGTTTGCCGGTGTTGGCTCAGCTGAACAGTGAAACGTTCCTCCTTGGTGGCAGAGAGCATCTCCACAGCTCCCCGTGTGCAGGCTCTCGTCCACTTACTGGTTGGTACCAAACCAGTGCCATCAGCCTTCGATAGCTACAAACAAAAGCAGGATGTCTGTGGTCTAACTGAAACGAGCCAAGCTTGTGCCTTCGATCTGACACTGAAGGTTGCTCGAGGCAGGGGCCGCCC